GCCTACAAAATCCAGTTCGAGGCTGTTATGAAGGCGAACGGCTGGAATAAAAGTCAGGCCATGACTGCTCTCACACTAGGCCTGCGCGACCAGGCCTCAACAGTTCTGGAAGCTCTCGGTGAGGAAGTGACTTATGAGCAACTCCTTGAGGCATTGGAGGCGAGATATGGCGACGCTCACCTGGAACACGTCTTTCTTGCGCAGCTTAAAGATCGTGTGCAGCGCATCAACGAAAACCTGCAGCAGTGGGCTCTAGAAGTGGAGAAGCTGGTGCGAAAAGCATACCAGTCTGTACCTGCGCTCATTGAAGGGAACCTGGTGCAGACATTCATCGACGGCATCCGCGACCTGGAAGTCAGAGCTGCTGTGAGGCTCGGGCACCACGAGACGCTTAAGGACGCCTTGGCCCATGCACTGGAAGTGGAAGCCGTGCGGCAGGATCATCGTTCCCATCGCGTCAGGGAGGTTGCAGCAGCTACAGTCCGTGACCGCAGCAAAGGATACAGCCCTAGGTGCTATGGCTGTGGGGAAAAGGGCCATCTTCGATCCAGCTGCCCTAAACTAACCGTGGAAAGGAGAGTTGATCGATCTCGAGAGGGTAGTACAGCTAACGGCACTGGACGAGCATGTCTTAGGAGGGGGCAGTGTTACGCGCTCAAGTCGACGATACACTAGCGCCATCTAGTGTCAGGAACGAGAGCGAGGGGAGCATTGAGAAAATGACATCACAAATCACTCAACCGACAGCGCCATCCGAAGAACTAAGTTTCTAGAAAATCTACACTCGCACACTCGTCCCTTTGCGCGCATTTACTTGAATATTCCGGATGCTTCTTTGCTAATTTATATAAATAGGCGCTGCAAGATGCGATAGAGGCAGTATTGGAATTGGCGACACAAGCGAAGCTTCGGAGCGGAATAAAGTGAATTAGTGTGTTTAATTATTAGTGTTTTAAGTTTTAATTTGTGTAAAGTAAATTAAAGTGTTAATTTAGGTAATTTTATCGGCAATTTTTATTGTCACGAACCTCAAGCTCGTAACAATATGTAAGTTACACGCCTCAATAATAGATTGTAGCTTTTTACACCTATTGTCTCTTTTACGTAAACATGTATTAAAATCAGCCATAATTATGGTGTGACTATAGAACCAGGTCAAATTATCTAATAAACATTCAAAAGAGGAAAAGTTTTTGTTGAGAATTGATCAATTGACAGCTGACCTGACCTAACCCAACTTTGATCCTATCCTACTTCACACTTTACTTTCGTTTTATATAGAGTCAAAGTTGGCAATAATGTATTCTGATATTTTGTGTAATTAAGTTGGCAAGCGACAAGCCTACCTTTTAATAACTTCATGTAACAATGACAAAAACGAAACTGGATGGCGAAAGGCAAACGTGCTCCAAATTGTAATTGTGAAAATTGTAAAGTATAAGACAATAATCCGGCGATTGTTTGTCAAGAGTTTTGTTTAACAAAACAAGTATTATCAAAGCGTTCAAAAGATTTGTTCATTTTGTATCAATTTAAGCTGTAATTTTGAACTCAAAATTAGTCGCCAGGTGCTAAACTTTGTTTATACATTTCTTTCACAGAACATGTAATAATTATGATTTCTTATATTTACGCGAACACTACACATTAAAATAATACTAGTTTTTACGGAATTCATCGCGTATATTTAACTTTTTAAATACCCGACGTTTCGAACGCTTTACAGCACTCATGGTCACGGGCGGGACTGAGATGTTCAACGTCCATATGGCATAGTTAACCGCGGTTACCATAGATTAAAATTTAACTTTTGTTCCGATCTATGCAGTATGAACTTATGGTATCTTGAAGTCTTGCAGTTGTATGCTTGGGTTGGGATTTAATTTTATTTATTATAGGATCCCAAGCAGATGGTAGCACCCAGCCATCTTCTCTATTGAAATTAGGATGTTTTTTGATTTCAATAGCCTCGCGAATCATCCTTGGAAGGAATCGGTATTCTTTAGCGAGGATTTGCGGTCTATCAAATCTGATGTAGTGACGGGGGCGATCCTGTACGTGTTCACAGACTGCAGACTTCCCGGAGCGTCGATTCTTCACATCAGCTATATGTTCTTTAACGCGGGTTTTTATTGATCTTTTAGTTTGTCCTATGTAGGAGAGACCACATTCACAATCAAGCTTGTACACTCCTGCATCTTGCAGAGGGACATTACACTTGACTGATGGTAAAAACTGCCCAATCTTCTTCAGCGGCTTGAAGTATGTTTTGATGGAAGCGCGCTTCAAGATGTAGCCAATCTTGTCAGTGACTCCTCTAACATATGATAGTACAGCAGGTACACGCTCGACTGTGCCCGGCTTCACTCGTTCACTGTGACGTAGGCGCGGGACTCGAAGCTTGTTGTCATGCAAAACATGCTTGACATGATGGAGCTCGGCAGCCAGGTGTTTACTGTCACAGATCCCTCGAGCTCTCTAAAACAAAGATTTACCCACGGTAGCTAACTGTGAAGGATGGTGGTGAGAGTCACCGTTTAAATGTCTATCTGTATGGGTCTTTTTTCTATACACAGTATGGCTCAAGGTGTTAGCCATACTGTGAACACGTACAGGATCGCCCCCGTCACTACATCAGATTTGATAGACCACAAATCCTCGCTAAAGAACACCGATTCCTTCCAAGGATGATTCGCGAGGCTATTGAAATCAAAAAACATCCTAATTTTAATAGAGAAGATGGCTGGGTGCTACCATCTGCTTGGGATCCTATAATAAATAAAATTAAATCCCAACCTAAGCATACAACTGCAAGACTTCAAGATACCATAAGTTCATACTGCATAGACCGGAACAAAAGTTAAATTTTAATCTATGGTAACCGTGGCTAACTATGACATATGGACGTTGAACATCTCAGTCCTGCCCGTGACCATGAGTGCTGTAAAGCGTTCGAAACGTCGGGTATTTAAAAAGTTAAATATACGCGATAAATTCCGTAAAAACTAGTATTATTTCAACATGTAATAATTGTAAAGAAACAAACAAATATCTTTTGTATAAAGTCTTGAATATTTCTCTTTATTAAAATTGTGAAATTTAGATACTGATTCAATTGTATTGTTTGGACAGGTACCTTTTGAAACTCTGCTCAATAAACGAACATTTGTCAACTTTGGACTTCATCATTTGTCAACAAAGAACCCAAACCCACTGAATTAACAACAGTTATCAACGTGCGGGGACGGACTGTAACAAACACCTAGAAGAATTTTCGTATAAGACAGTGTTACTTCAATAAATAAATGCTCGACCGCATCAGAAGGAGGACGCTGAGTGGACAAACTTACAACAGTAGAGGGAATGTAAGAACAAAGGTAAATCGCCACCCCTCCACCCCCCTTACCAATACGGTTGTTGCTAATGAGATAAAATTCTGTTAATGAGTATGAAGTGGACGGTAGGCATGGCTTCGACCATGATTCGGAGACGAGAGTGGCATGAATGTTAAAGGACTCAAAAGACGCAAGCATGTTTTTGTAATTATAGTGGGCTGGAATACGTTGTGCATTTATTTAGGTGAATCACAGTAAAAATTTTCAGAGAGTCTGAGAAGTACGAATTAAGGGCATCGTTTAACGGAATTGAAGACATTGTACTGTGAAAGCTAAACTCACTCATCATTTGACGGCAAAGACAAAAAATGACTAAAATCATCATTAACAATACTATTATCAAATGACATAATATATTATAAAGTAAACCAAAAATATATAATAAACGATTAAATAACAAAAAGTATGAAAATTAAATATACGAAAGCCCAACCCGCCAGCAGTCTGAAAGAGATTTACATCATTTAAAAATGTATAAAATAATGTTTAAAAGCCACTACCACAAGGTAACAAAAAATAATTGACAAACAAAAAAAATCATGCAGAAAAACGAAAAAAGTGAAAACTTAAACATCATTTAGCTGATTTTATGAATAATATATTATTAAGCCATTAAAGGCTAGCGATGCCATTTGGCATCACTTAGGAGAGGTTTGAATTTTCGCGCCCTGAGCTGTCAAAACAAAATCATATGTAATTAGTCCGCATCTTATCTATAGGTTAAGACCGATTTACACTTCGATAAGTACAGTAGCGAGTTAACTTGCGAACCTGGCGAGTTAAGTTTGAACCTCGTTTGAAACGGCAATAAGCGAACTCGCGCTAAGTAGCAAGTTAACGATTAAGTTGAACGGGATAGCCGCCCGAGCTATTTTACGGCGAGTTAAGTGCGATGCTGCCCTACCGCGCTTCTCCGGCCACCCGCAACTAAACTCGCTGTTCGTGTAAACGAGCGAGTTTAGTTCAGTGCATAAATTGACAGGACGCAACGTTTGCACGCCAAAACGTACAATTGTACGTTTGTAATTAAACTCGCCACAAAGTTTGTACGATACTGTTTATTAAATATTTATATGTTTTATATTGAGTTTTAATAATAAAACGGATGGAAGTTATCACGTATAATTTGTACGGGAGTATTTAGAAAACGAATGTTTATATAATAGAAGAATTTCAAATTGTAAAATTAAATCTGCTCGAGATGCTGCACTCATGAAAATTCTTAAAAACTTCTTTAACAACAACCGTTAAAACTTCTCTGACTGGATCATTTAATTTTTGACGTAATCCTAGAACCATCTTAAACGAAAACCAGAAAAATTCTGAAGTCTTGAAATGTCATACTCCAACGAACTCTATCAACTAACATCCTTAACTAAACTCGCCACGAAGACATTGTTTGAACGCTACTGCCCACTTAACCGTTTACTGTCAACTGCCCTGTAACTAAACTCGCTACTGTACTTGTGAAGTGTAAATCGGTCTTTATGGACTATTGGTTCATTCTATGACAGTTTCAACCAATCAGGATACGCAATTTTTTTCTACAAATACTCTAAACCACTCTAAACTCTAAACTTTAGTGTCGAAAAAAGACGTCGAAAAATGGATTACGTTTTTAAGTAAGTAATTTTATGTTCATATTGTTGCATGAATAAGTCAACTAGCGCCATCTAGTGTCAGGAACGAGAGCGAGGGGAGCTTTGCAGTAAATGACATCACAAATCTTTCGACCGACAGCGCCACCCGAAGAACTAAGTTTCTGGAAAATCTACACTCGAATACTCGTTGCCTGGCGCGCATTTACTTGAATGTTCGGGACGCTTCTTTGCTAATTATATAAATAGGCGCTGCAAGATGCGATCGGGGCAGAGTTGAACTCGGCGACACAAGCGAAGCTTCGGAGCGGAATAATTGTATTGTTTTTAGTTTTAATTTGTGTAAAGTAAATTAAAGTGTTAATTTAGGTAATTTTATCGGCAATTTTTATTGTCACGAACCTCAAGCTCGTAACAATTGGTGTCAGAAGTGGGATAAAATAATGCCGATTTTACCTAAGGAGGAAACGGAGGGTGTCCGTACCCGAAGTCAACGCCAGCAGGAGACGGAACCAACGAAGATTTGCTGGTGCAACGCCGCAGACGTCGGAGGGCCAGACACCGGCTGCAGGCCCGTTGGTAGCTCCTACATCTGCAGCACCTGACTTAGGTGCTCTGATGGTGATGCTGCAGGAGCAGGCTCGCCGACAGGAGGAACAGGTCCGTCAGTTGAAAGAGCAGCTGCAGAGCGGACAGGAGGAACAGGTCCGTCAGTTGAAAGAGCAGCTGCAGAGCGGACAAGAGGAACAGGCCAGCCGACAGGAGGAACAGATGCTCCTCATGAAGGACCTTCACGCTACCTTCGGGAAGGAGATAAAGGAGGTGAAGGATAGGGTTGCTCAGCATGACAAACGCCTGTCGGAAGCTGAAACCCAAATCGCGAAAGCTGAAAACCGAATCGAGAAAGCTGAAACCCGAATCGACCAAGTAAACAATCGGGTTGACAACGTAATGGCTGACATGAAGAAATCACTGGACGAACTCAAACTTGGAGATGGAGCTACAGCTCCCGTAGTAGCTACAACACCTTCGCTACGTGGGTTCAAGGTGCCACCGTTCGACGGTACCTCTTCCTGGTCAGCCTACAAAATCCAGTTCGAGGCTGTTATGAAGGCGAACGGCTGGAATAAAAGTCAGGCCATGACTGCTCTCACACTACGCCTGCGCGACCAGACCTTAACAGTTCTGGAAGCTCTCGATGAGGCAGTGACTTATGAGCAACTCCTTGAGGCATTGGAGGCGAGATATGGTGACGCTCACCTGGAACAGGTCTTTCGTGCGCAGCTTAAAGATCGTGTGCAGGGCATCGACGAAAACCTGCAGCAGTGAGCTCTAGAAGTGGAGAAGCTGGTGCGAAAAGCATACCGGTCTGTACCTGCGCTCATGCACTGGAAGTGGAAGCCGTGCGGCAGGATCATCGTTCCCATCGCGTCAGGGAGGTTGCAGCAGCTACAGTTCGCGACCGCAACAAAGGATACAGCCTTAGGTGCTATGGCTGTGGGGAAAAGGGCCATCTTCGATCCAGCTGCCCTAAGCGAACCCTAGAAAGGGAAATTGAACGATCTCAGGAGGGTAGTGCGGCCAACAGCACCGCCCTCCCCAGACAGCGACACAACCGAAACAACAACAGAAACGAGTAAAAGCCAGAACTGCGGGGCGGGTGCTGGCTGATGTTAAAAGAGCCCCAAGGATCTCGATCTCACAAACCCATGATGGGAACAGCCTAATCATAAAGGGCGAGATCAACGGAATGCCGTGTAAGCTGACCATAGACACTGGAGCCTCTCGTACGGTTGTTAGTTCCCAACTTATAAGTCAGTTCCTTGGGGACTCCGCATACAACCGAGAACGCATTAATTTGGTAACAGCCACCGGTCAGCGTATACCCGTCCGTGGAGAGAAGGAGATGGAGTTGAAGCTAGGCAACGTGATCTACCTGCATAATGTCATCGTGGCTGATATAATGGACGACTGCATCCTAGGCCTAGACTTTATGAGGAATAATTTTTGTGAGATCGACGTTAAGCAAGGTGTTTTGAATTGTGGACAGGAGGAACTTTTTATGGAAGGTGCGTTACCAGGGAACGTGTACAGCATCAAGAAGATTGTTCTTTCGCCGAGATCGGAAACGATTGTTCCGGTTAGTCTTCCTCGAAACGCTGGGCAAGCTCACCGTTGTGTACTTGTGGAAAGGGTAAACAATGACCTTCCATGGAAAGTAGCTCGAACCTTGGTCAGGACCACTGACATCTCAGGAGTACGTGTGCTGAACCTTTGCGACCGGGAACAGATTATAGAAAAAGGCACACTGGTTGGTACTTGTGAGGAAGTGGATTGGTTACGTCAGTGCCAATATATATCGAGTGGGACCCCCAGCAAGGATTCAGAAACGAGAGTGACCACACTTTTGGAAGACTGTCGCAGTGTTCTGTCCCCGAACGAACTGGTCAAGGCGAAGAAGTTGTTACTCGAGTACGCCGATGTATTCTCATCAAACGATGCTGACATAGGAAAGACTGGTTTAGTTCAACACAAAATAAACACAGGTGAAGAGTTGCCTATCCGTCAGCGGCCAAGACGATTGCCGGTAGCACGTGAAAAGGAAGTGGAAACCATGATTAAAGGAATGGTGAAGGATGGTGTTATTGAACCTTCATCTAGTCCATGGTGTTCACCCGTGGTACTGGTAAAGAAGAAGGACGGCAGCTTGCGGTTTTGTGTTGACTACCGCCGTCTGAACGACGTTACTAAGAAGGATAGCTATCCCTTGCCAAGAATTGACGACACGCTGGACATGCTTACAGGAGTAAAGTGGTTTAGCACGCTGGACCTAAAAAGTGGCTACTGGCAAGTTGAAATTGACCCTAAGGACAAGGAGAAAGCTGCGTTCTCGACGGGAAAGGGTCTGTGGCAATTTAAAGTAATGCCGTTTGGGTTGTGCAATGCTCCAGCAACGTTTGAAAGGCTGATGGAACTTGTACTTACCGGGCTAATTGGCGACGCCTGTCTGGTCTACTTGGATGACATCATCATCGTGGGCCGTACGTTTGAGGAACACCTTCAAAACTTGGAACGCGTGCTCATGAAGATTAAGAGTGCCAACCTCAAGTTGAGTCCGAAGAAATGTTCACTATTCAAACGGCAAGTCAACTTTTTGGGGTATGTAGTGTCGGAAGAAGGTATCCGCACGGATCCAGAGAAAATCGCCGCTGTCAAGGATTGGCCGGTTCCAAGAGACAAGACGCAGGTTAGAGCATTTTTGGGTTTGTGCTCCTATTACCGGCGATTTGTGAAGAACTTTGCAGATATAGCCAAACCTCTGCATAAGCTAACCGAGGAGAAGCGACATTTCTGCTGGGATGAAAGTTGCAGTATCGCATTCCAGGAGCTCAAGGACCGTCTGCGCAAGACACCTATTTTGGGATACCCTGATGCAAGCAAAGAATTTATAGTTGACACAGACGCAAGTGATATAGGACTTGGCGGTGTGTTGTCTCAACGTAATGGTGACCAAGAGGTCGTGATAGCGTACTTCAGCAAGTCGTTGTCAAAACCGGAAAGGAACTATTGTGTCACAAGACGCGAATTGCTAGCTGTGGTAAAGTCGTTGCAGCATTTTAGCAAATATCTTCTGCCCCACGCAGTATAACCGATTATGCAAATGACTTGCGGAACAAAATGAATGACATTTATGAGCACGTCAGACAATCGGGCCAGCAAATGTCTGAGAAAAAGAAAACCCGGTACGACCGCAAAATGAACAATAAAGGGTTCAACGAAGGTTCATTAGTGTGGTTGCACAATCCAGTCCGCAGCAAAGGGAAATCTCCTAAGCTTCAAGCTAAATGGGACGGCCCGTACCGGATTGTAACCAGGATCAACGATGTGACCTACCGGATACAGAAAGGCGCAAGAGGGACTCCTAAGATCGTCCATGTGGATCGCTCGGCGCGTTATTATGGGACCGATAATGCTCGGGACGAGCATGTCTTAGGAGGGGGCAGTGTTGCATGAATAAGTCAACTAGCGTCATCTAGTGTCAGGAACGAGAGCGAGGGGAGCTTTGCAGTAAATGACATCACAAATCTTTCGACCGACAGCGCCACCCGAAGAACTAAGTTTCTGGAAAATCTACACTCGAATACTCGTTGCCTGGCGCGCATTTACTTGAATGTTCGGGACGCTTCTTTGCTAATTATATAAATAGGCGCTGCAAGATGCGCTCGGGGCAGAGTTGAACTCGGCGACACAAGCGAAGCTTCGGAGCGGAATTGAGTGAATTAGTGTGTTTAATTATTAGTGTTTTTAGTTTTAATTTGTGTAAAGTAAATTAAAGTGTTAATTTAGGTAATTTTATCGGCAATTTTTATTGTCACGAACCTCAAGCTCGTAACAATATTATGAAATTAAAATGTATGTTTAACCATTTGGGTATATTTAATAATAGTATACCTATGATGTGATACGTAATTTGTAGAAAACTGACTTATAGTGAAAGCAATATTAAGAAAAAATACTAGTTGATGCCGTATGGCACCGCTAGCTCAATACCGTGTCTTTTCACATATTGAAAACTTTCTGCGATAATCGTTTTTTTATATTTCTATTTTTACTTATGATTGTTTTTTTTTTCAAACTATTATAATTTCTATATCTATTATATAATAATAATTTGTTATCTTCGTTATAACTATTAGATTTTATTTACTTTTTGATTTTATTTTTACAGAGACTGTACGCTTTACGAAGCTATTAGTGTGCTAGAAGACGAGGAAGCGGAACCGGCGTTGATTTATATTGAACCACCTGATCCTGCTGCCTTAACAGATGAGGATTCAGCGGACGAAGACGAGGGGGCCCTAGCTAATAATTTATCTGGACGCCAATTGAATGCAAGATGTGAGGTAAGATTAGCACCACGAAGAAGTCCTAGTCCTCTTGTGGATTTTAGTAAAGATAAGGAGAGTCCTGTAGCCTCCACTAGTAGATCTTTAACTACACGTGGTCGTGGTGATCATGGGCGACGTCACTCACGTGGCAGAGGGCGCAGTCGCATGCTACGAGGGAAAAGTACACGCTATCAAGGTAAAACCACTAACACCCGTGACAGCTCTTCAAGTTCAGTGAGTGACGCATTATCTGATGATAACAGCGTGCCAGTTACTAGAACATCAGAGACCGAAAATCTGGGTACAAGAAGATCTGAAGGACAATATGGTAATTTTACCGGAACCTGATTACTCACAGTATCGTGAAAAAACACCAGTTGAAATGTTTAAACTCTTCCTTGATACCGATTTTTTTGAAATGATTTTATCCGAAACTCAAAAATATGCTGTTTTTTTTAAATTGTCTAGATCCTAGAATTACAGTTGATGAATTGGTGGCATTTATAGCAATATTAATAAATTCCGGATATAACACTGTTCCATCAAAAACTCACTACTGGGACCAACATGATGACATGAGAAATAACTTGGTATACAACTGCATGAGACAACAACGTAACGGGACAGGTTCAAAACTATAATGCGTTTCATACATTGTGTTGATAACACACAAATAGATGTTTCTGATAAGTTATGGATGTTGAGGCCGATGATAAATTTCCTTCAAAGGAAATTCAAAGAAAACTATGTACCTTGTTCTAACCTGAATTATGATGAATCATTGATTGAATACTTTGGAAAACACGGGTGCAAACAATTTATTCGCGGCAAACCAATTAGGTTTGGATTCAAAAATTGGTGTTTGAATACTCAAAATGGGTATTTATTAGACTTTGAAATATATCAAAGAAAAAGTGTTTAAGAAAACGTAGAGTATGACAAGCTCTATGGTAAAGCAGCATCGCCGCTAATCAAAATGATCTCCAGTATTCAATCGTTACCAATGAGTTTTTATCACGACAATCTTTTCACTAGTTTTGAATTACTTTGTGAATTGAAACGACGGGTTTACCATGAAACGGGCACTGTAAGAGAAAATAGGCTTACTAAAGACATACCTCTGACTAATAAAAACGATTTCATGAAAGTACCTCGAGGCAGTTTTGTATACACAAAGAGCAAAGGAGAAGGTGTAATTGTGGTGCGATGGAAAGATAATTCTGTTGTTACAGCCATGTCAACCCGTTACGGTGTGGAACCACTCTCCAATGTGACAAGGTATTCTGCATCCGATAAGAAGAAGATACAAGTACCTCGGCCATCTGTTTATACAAACTATAATAAATACATGGGAGGCACAGATTTGATGGACCAAAACCTCAATACCTATATAATTGGCTTTAGAGGCAAGAAATGGTGGTGGCCTATTTTTACATACCTGATTGACGTAACTATTTGTAGCGCCTGGGTCCTTTCAAGGTGCGCTGGTAGTTCTTTAAGCCAGCTGGACTTTCGGAGACATATTGTTCAAACATACTTGCATCAATTTCGTCGTCCATCTACATCCAAATTTTCAAAAAAAGGAAATAGAGTGGCTGATGAAATACGCTACGACGGTATAGGTCATTCTATTGAGGGGGGAAAGCGAAAAAGCTGCGCGTTGGAAATCTGTAAGAGCGAAACTAGGGCAGAATGCCGAAAATGTGGTGTAGGTCTCTGCCTTTCTTGTAATTTTCAATACCATACTAAACTCTTCATAATATCATAAAAATACTGAATTACAGATATTTTTTTAATTAACTTAATTCTTGTTTTATTTTCAAAAAGCTATAAAACATTAAGTCCTTAGATTATAACGTATGAGCTTCTGTTTTCTTACATTTTTATATAAGCAAAACAGCATCATAACTTTATACGAAATGCTAACATAAGAGGTTAACGATGCCATATGGCATGATGAAAGACCACTCCTTTTCTGTAGGTCGATTCCGGCCGTTTTTTTCTCAATTTCTTGCTTAAGTCTTACTTAAGTTGTTGGCAGTAGATATTTAAATCGATGTTTTTACCCCGATGTAAAAAGCTCATAACAATTTTTGATTTTTTTGTTTAGCAAACTACACTTTGCTAAATAACTTTGACAGTTCGTAGCGATCTAAAAAAACAAAGATCGTGTTTAATGTCCATGTCACACCTATGTCGGTAGTTGTTGCGAATATTGACGAGACGGAGCTGAGTACTGTACATAAACCTAAGAAAATTGTTGCTACTAAAGGTGTAAAGAAAATAGGGAAGATGACATCAGGTGAACGTGGTGAATTGGTAACTGCGTGCTGTGCTATAAATGCAATGGGAGGATACATTCCTCCATTCATGATCTTTCCACGTAAGAACTAGCAAGATCGTCTGTTGAACGGTGCACCTGCAGGTACAAATGCAGGCAATTTCCTTCAGGCTGAATGACTGCTGAGAATTTTATAAAGTTTTTACAACATTTAAAAAAATATACCAAATGTTCAGTTGAGTATCCGATGTTGATTATAATGGATAATCATGACAGTCATATTAGCATAGAATCATTAAACTTCGCTAAAGGGAATGGTATAAATCTTTTGACAATACCTCCCCACGCGTCTCATAAAACAAAGCCTTTAGACAGAACAGTGTTTGGACCACTCAAAGCCTATTATGATACTGCTTGTAGCGATTGGATGGACCAGAATCCTGGCAAAACTATAACGTTAGTGAGTTATTACAAGATACTTCAATAAAACCTGTTAATACTTATTACATTTACGAAAATGTAGAACTCACATTGAGATTGAGACCCAATAGTCGCTAAAATTAATACTCAAGACATATAAAGCTAATTATATTCATAATTTTGTTATATTAAATGATACTTTTATAACCAAACCGGGTATTCATTAATTTAAAGTTTGCATTAGGGAGACTTGATCCCCTATGATCAAGTCTACCCGTTACTGGGAACGAGTCTCCCAGAATATGGGACACTTGTTCCTTTTAGAAAGTTTTGGGAAAATGCAAAAAAATAAATGAAGCACTAATAAATATAATAATCAAATAATGGGTATTGTGTATGCGAAATATATTTATAATGATTTCACTTATTAAGGTTGCCCTAGTCGATAGCTCGAACTAAATGGTGGGCGGGGTTAAAATGCATGCTATCTCAGCCGACATCACGTGCGAAAGAGATAGACGCTGTGATGAACAGTAAGAAGCTAGTGCGCACACACATACACACTCCTGAGTAACGCAAAGCGACGGTGTCATCGCGTACCTACATATTGCGATTCTTTTTTGAATGACAACATAAACTCAAACCGCAATTGAAAGCTCCTTGTCGCAGTGGCTTAGCAATGAGACCGCGGCCGCGGTTTCGAATCCCGCACGGAACAAATATTTGTATGGCCTACAAATAGTTGTTCCGGGTCTGGATGTTTGTCCTTGTGCAATTTATGTTTGTAAAGTGTAAACTGCCTCCACGATACAGGAGAAAATCCTACTGTGGGGTAACGTATTTTAAAAAGAAAAAAGAGAGAGGAAACAAATTGGTGTTATTATTATGAACCCAATTTAGTTGTTATTATGAAAGTTCTTATGTGAATTTAAGTAGATGTTGTTATTATATAATATTTTCATTGATTTGTTTTTACCTACTTTTTAACCGACTTCGAAAAAAGGAGGCGGTCCTCAATTCGTTGTTTTTTGGTTATGTATGTTCTGTTCATGGGGGGTATATTGCCATAGTTGCCACGCTTGGCGAGCGGGTTGGCAACCGCAGTTTTTTTTGTCGTACAGTTGGACTTACCTAGTCCGACTAGGTAAGTCCAAATTCGAGCGAAAGGTCAATCGACGGATTCAACTCGGCTGGCCAGCGTTCGGGAAATTACGACATACCTTCTCGTCAGGTGTACCTCAATCTCTAAAAACTAGATTTTACAACCAGTGCGAGTTGCCAGTGATGACTTATGGATCTGAGACGTGGTCCTTCACTGTTGGCCGTATGGGGACGCTCAAGGTCGCTCAGCGAGCTATGGAGAGGGCTATGCTCGGAGTTTCTCTGCGTGATAGACTCAGAAATGAGGTTATCCGCAGTAAAACCAGAGTGACTGACATAGCCCAACGGATTAGTAAGCTGTAGTGGCAATGGGCCGGCCATATAGTTCGAAGAACCGATAACCGATGGGGAAGAAAGGTTCTCGAGTGGCAGCCTCGTACCGGTAGGCGTAGTGTAGTACCATAGCTAGTTAGCTATAATAGCCCACAGGCCACAGGCAACTCCCCGAAGTATATATATATGCCAGCCAGTGTCAGGATAACTGCTTTTTCGACAGCGCGACTGATGTGAGTGGGGCTTTTATGTAGGTTAATTAAATAAATAAAAATGTTGTAAATGTGTTTGTAAAATGTTTATTGATTGTGTTCAATAGCGTTTTGCAATATTCTCTTACTACTTAGAAAGTTATCAACAATAGGAATTGTGTCACTGCGGGGATAAGCACAAACGTCTATCAAAATAGTAACGTGCCTAAACGGAATAGGACTAACAGCACAGACTTCCTTACAAAAGTCCAAAGAAGACGTCTAGACAAGGTAAGTAATTAGAAGAAAACTACAATTTACAGATCGATTGTAAATCAAATTCACAGTACGTCTGTACAATTAGCGAAATATAAATAAAATTTTGAATTATTTTATGATAGTAGATAACGCTAGTTGAAAACTAAACACTGTATGGGATTGACATCACTGAACTAGTCAGGTGGTCAGTCCGAACAAATAAAAGGCGCGATTGTAGAAAGAGATTCGTTACGAAACCTTTGTAGGCTAGGGGGCTTGGCCTGTTTATGCTATTGATAACGAAGGCTATAAAATATGTACAACTTAGAAACTAAATCCTATGTGTACTTATCTGTATTTATAACCCAATATCTAAGGTAGGTTGATGCGCTCCTTAATTTTTATATAATAATAATAAAGCCTCTTTATTCCTTAATAGAAAATAATTACAATACAACAATTATATGTACGCTTAGAAAATAAAATACAATATATATTTCAATTAAGGACCCCTCTTTGGGTAAAGGCCTCCTCCATTTTTTCCCACTCTTTTCGGTTCTGTGCTATTGTTAACCAATTTTTTCCTGCTGTCTTTTCAATCTCATCGACCCTTTCTTTCGGTCTTCCTTGCTTGCGTTTGCCTGTTGGTCCTGTCCACATGGTTACTCGTTTAGTCCATTTGGTATCTGTAGATCGTGCTACGTGACCTGCCCACTTCGACTTCAATTTTTGAGAGTAATGTAATGCGTCTATCACTCTCGTTTTCTTGCAAATGTCATTGTTTTTGCATTTATCTTTTAGTTTTAGGTTTAGGATACTTCTTTCCATTGCACGTTGACATGTTAGTATTTTATTCCTTGTTTGTCTATTGAAGATCCATGTTTGGCTGAACTGGTTACCCTTCGGGTACGGAATCCTAAAAAGTACTTAGTTGTCCACTCACATCTGTATGGTTATTTCTTCAAAGGACTATTAGCCACCTGCCTGGTTCTCGTATGACAGACCAATGTAATACCTGGACTGACCTCTCTGAGTTTGTTTCGGCAGATCGGGTGCT